GGAGAATAGCAGGGGAGAGGCGGGGAATGGGTAGTGCTGGAATGAATGGAGAGGTGGGCCGAGCCTGTGAAGCCTGGGCCGGAGTCTCACCCAGTCTCTCAGGTGGCAGCAGCTTCTCAGGGCCCAGCTCTGCGCTCAGCATGGCCCGAGCCCGGCTCAGTGCCTCTCGGACACCCTGCAGCTCCCGGGGCTCGGGGCCGGCCCGCACCTGGGTCAGCAGGTCCTGCACCAGCTGGCCGACGGCCGTGTGTCGGTCCTCCACCAGCGCCGTGGCTGCCCGGCCCACCTGCCGCTCCGGGGCCAGCAGGGAGCAGAAGGCAGAGCTCATGGACCGAAGCAGCGGCCGCCGGCGGCGGCGGCCCAGGCGGGGTGAGGTGGCTGGGCTTCCCCGGGACCCTGGCGCCCCCTCTTCTTCTGAGCTGCTGGGGGAGCCACAGTCTACCTCCTGGAGGGAGGGCAGGGGTGGAAGGCTGGGGCTGGCACTCCCTGGCACACGGTACCCCACAGAGCTCTCCCTCCGCAGAAGCTGGTGAGGGGGTAACCTTTCTGTCTGGTTGGGGGCTGCCCCCGGCAGCACAGGGACCGGGGGAGGTGGCATGGCAGGTGGAGACAGAGGGCTGGAGGTCTCCGTGGACACGCGTACTTTGAAGCTCCTCTTGAATTTCTCCCGCTTGGTGGGGCCCAGGTCCCCTGGGAACAGGGGATTGAAGAAGCACAGGGCAGCTCCTGTGCCCTGGTCCAGCTCTTGCGGGGACCGGGGCTTCAGCCGGGGCAGCAGCGGGCCTTCAGACAGGCCCGGCTGAGCCTTGGTATTGAGGGAGGAGCTCCAGAACTCTAGGGAAGAGAAAGCATTTGGGGGTCTCAGGGAGGCTTGGGGAGGGTGCCCGACCGAGGGAAAGGCACAGGCTCAGGCTGTGTGCCCATGTGCCTTCTCTTTCCCCCTTGGCCTCAGCTTGTCCATCTGTGCAATGGGTAGCAGAGGACCCCTTACCGATGCCCAGATGGGAGATGGCTTCCAGTTCCTTGTGGGTGGCTGCCTGGCAGATGGCTCTGGGGAGCTGGAGTGGGAGGAGAAGGATGTCCCTGAGGCCAGAGAGGGAAACAGAAAGCCAGGGGTGAGGGATGTTCAGGGCTCTGGGGGCTAGCAGGACCTGGAGGGGCTGGGAGGACAGGATGTCCCAGGGAGCAGGGACCAACGCAGACCAGGCGCCCTGCGGCCAGGCTCACCGGGTATGGCAGTAGGCACAGATGAGCTGGACCAGGTCTGGGAACGTGAGCTCTGAGCCCTCCAAGGAGACGCCTGAGAGACGGACGGGAAGTGTGGTTGTTTTCTGGGGAACACCCCCGTGCCCTGCCCTGACTGCTTCCAGCCCCTACCCCCCAGGCCAGTCCCGCTCACCCCCAGGGCTCTCCTGGATGTAGTGGCTAGAGACAAACGAAGGGCCGCTGGCCTCGGGCAGCCTCACGCATAGGGCCTGGCACCCACGAGTGTTAGATTTCCGCACCAGGAACGTCTGCAAGGGACAGGGGTCGGGGGCTCGGGACCTCCGTGTCCAGCCTCTCTCCCCGCCACCCTCCGCTGGCCAGTCCTGGGGTCAGGGGCCAGACTCACCCCTGGGGGCTCAGTCCTCAGCACGTGCAGTGCAGCCGCCGCGTTGGCCCGGAGCTGCAGCCACACGGGCCGTGTGCGCAGCAAGCGCTCCCGCAGGCTCACGGTGCGCCCGGGCCGCTGGGGCCCACCCGCCGGCCCCCCGCTGGCCCCAGGCACGTCGTAGAGCGGGTCCTGGGCTGGCCTAGGAGTGGTCACCAGATTGGAGCAGGGGTCCGGGGGGTGGGACCCTTGCCCGACCCTTTCCTCCTTCTCTGCCCTGGGACAGACTGCCGTCCCTCCCTGCCCCACCGGGCTGCCCTTCCAACTTCACTAACTTTTCTCTCTCCGGGTGCCCAGGTGCGAAGTTGGACAGGCTGGGGGCTCCGAGAGGGCCTGCTTCTGGCTCCCCAGGGGTTTCCATGGCTGGGAGCTCCTTCGGTTTCTCCCCGGTTTCTCCCAGGACTCAGGAAGAGAATCCAGCCCCCAAGGCAACAGCGCGCTCACATTCCCGGTGGTGAGTAACACTTCCTGAGGGCGGTTCGCCCTGTCACGCCCCGCCAGTTAACTCTTGTGTGTCCACTCAGCCCGGGCAGTGCCCACTTCCTCTTTGTTCTGGGCCCAGCCTAAGGGGGCAGGCATCCCCCTCCGTAGAAGTGCCACCCCAGGAGCCCCAGCTGCGGGGCCACCACCCCCGCACAGTGCATCCTGAAGCCTTACCAGCCTCCCCAAACCACACAGGCAGGCGGGAAGGGGTTAAGCTGGGCCCTTCTGGGTCCCCACAGGCCCAAGTCTTGCCCTTGGGGCACCTTTAAGTCTGTGGTCAATTGCTCATCTGTGCGTGGTCTTGGGGTCAGCCCTGTGGGAGAGCACCCCCTGCTGGTCACAGATGACTCATCCCCCCAGCCTAACTTAGGTTTTGGAATATCAGGTTGCTATGGAGAAAGGATGCTGTGTCTCCATGGAAACTAACCCCTTTGCTTAACTGAGGTTCTGGGGGTGGTTCTAACACTCGGCTCTAAATGGTGGGGGGGGGGGTTTGGTTGTGAGGTCGTCAGCACACGGTGCTGCCAGCTGCCTCCTACGCACACAGGCCCGGCCAGCCTGCCTCACCAATCTGCCAAGTGACTGGGGCAGGTGCAGGCATGACCCAGTCTCCAAGCACAGAGCACACGGTCCCCTTCTCCACCCCAGAACACGTGGTCTGCCTGTGCCACATGTTGCTTTGGGCTTTGCTCACGAGCCCCTGGTCATCCAGGGCCCGGTCCCCCACTCCTGGAGGGTATGGTGGGAGAGCCACCCCCTTACCCTCTCTATACCCCGACTCAGAGCAGGTAGGCTCCTGCTGTAGGAAGGTACCAGGGACCTCAGAAGAGACTGCCCTACTCAGGCTCCCCCCATGAGAGCCCTGATTCCCTTGCAAGGCATAAATCAGACACACATAGGTCATGGCAGAGTCCCAGGAAAGGTTTTAATTCCAGTCCCTGAAATCTGGGAGACAGATACCAAGAACCTCCTTGAGAAGACTCGGGGAGCCTTCTCATCTCTAGCGACAGCCAGGAGAGACAGGCCCCCAAAATGTAATTCCCGGGTCAGAGATCCCACGAAGTGGGGCCCAGATCACTGGCTCAGCGACTGGTCCGAGGTCAGCAGAGAGGATGTTGCTTTGGCTTAAGATGAGCCACATCTTCTTTGTCTGGGAGGGCACAGAGGAGGCTGACCTTTGGGAGGGGAAGGTGGTGGCGGGCTCACTGGGGACGGAGGAGACAGTCTTGCCTGGCTAGGGCGGCTCTGGGCCACAGCTGTGCAGGCCTCCGAGGAGGGCAGAGGAGTCCAGACCAGTGGTGGCTGGAGAGGAAGGCCCAGCAGCAGCACCAGGGAGCTGTCTGGCTAGACCCTGAGGGGTTTGTCAGTCCGCCTTCCCACAGCAGGAAAATGCAAATCCTGGGGTTGCTGCCAGCTGCTCTGAGGGGCCCCTTGGCCCTGAACAGCAGGGTCAAGGTCCTGAGGGAAGGCGGGAGGGGGGAAATCGCCACAGGTGAAAAGGTGAACCAAAAAGGGAGGAGCACCATTGCCTGTGGGGGGCTGGGAGGAGCAGCCTCGGTCTGGCCCAGGGCAGCTCTACGGCCATGGGCCCACCAGGGCCACCCCACTGCTGGGGCTCAGCATTCCAGCCCTCCCTGACCAGTCCTGGTTGTGGGGGGGCTCCATCCCCTAGCCCCATCGACCTAGAGCTTCCCCACCCCCACCCTGGCTCCTGCTCCCCAAACTCCCAAAGTGCCCTCAGACCCAGATCGCTCTAACTGGGGCCACTGATCTGACACAAGCACTACCTCTTTCTGGGCTCCTTTCTAGGAGGCTGGGCTGGGGGAGGGGGGCGGCAGGAGGCAGAGCAGCTCCTGTGGTTCTTACCATCTGCTTTTCTCTTCTGAGGGGACACAGCCGCCCTAGCCTGGGTGGGTGAGAAGAAGAGCCCCCCTTGAGAGTCTGCCTCCAGCTTGGCAAGTGCCCTCCTCCACATCAGCCTCTGGGGGGGGCGGGGGAGGCTGCCGGGTCAGTGCTGCATCCACACGGGTGGGGAGCGGAGGACCCTTTCTAGGCAAGGCTGTGATGTGGTCTCCCAGTCAGAGGCCAGGCCAGCCCAGCTGCCTTCCCGCCTTCCCTCCCTCCCTTCCCCCTATCCCATCAAAACCTGCCCTGGAAGGAGGAAGGGGCGGACACAGACTAAAAGGTCCCTCTTGCAGGGAAGCCTCAGGCAAAGGGGGGCCTGTGAGCTGACAGCGATGCCAGGGGACCTGGGCTGAAGGCAGGAGGCGCCGAGGGACGAGCAGAGCTCTCAGGCCCTCAGGAAGCCCACGTGTGGTGAGCCTGCAAGACCAAAGCAGGGGGTGCCGGCCCCACCTTTTTGATAGCTGTCCAGTCCTCCAGGATGTCAATCTCCTGCAGCATGTACACGATGTAAGGACCTGCAGCGGGGGTCAAGGAAAGCAGGAAGCCCAGTGGAGGGGGTAGGCAACAGGCCTCTGCCCCTCTGCCCCTCTGCCCGGGAGCTCCAACACTTGGGGGAGGTGGCACCACGGTGGGGAGGGGCTCAGGACCAGAGTTAGAAAGCAGGCTCCACCTCCTACCTCTTGGTTCCCAGGTTCTTGGGGTGGGGCCTATGGGGGGTACGGAGCCACACCCCTACCTACCCTTGGCTCCCCCTCACTTCCTCTCTCCAGTTTAAAGGTCAGCAGTCCAACACCCATTCCACCCACTCAGGGACCTTGCTCCTTCTGTTCTGACCCCTCATCCGGCCCCTTCTACACATACACTCCAGTCTCTTCCATCGTGGAGGTGATCCTCCCTTGGTCTCACGATCCCCTCTGGGGACCATCCGCTCTGTCCTCTGTACCTGATATCTGCATGCCCTCACCTCCATTCACCCGTCAAGGCCTTGCAGCCCTGTCTCCTCCCTCCCTGCCTGGACTGCCTGCCATCACCAGGCAGCCAGCGCCCCGAGAACCTGAGGCCGCGGAAACACCCGGTGTGGAGACAAGGGCATGAGAATTCCGTTCAAGTCTGTGCTGGACGACGTCAGGAGGGACAGAGGCTCAGCAGACCCTGGGCTGAAAGGGCTCATGCCTAAGGTGACAGGCAACTATTCCTATATGGGATGCGGGTGCCCCCAGTTTAGGCCACGGGGGTGCAGAGGAGAGAGAAGCCATAGCCACTGGGGAGGCGGCGGCCGGGGGGAACCAGGAGAGGCTTCACAGAGGAGGTAACATGTGAGACAAGCACCGGAGGGGCAGAGACGGGCAGCAAGGCATCCCGAGGGAGGAAAGTGGGGGTGGGTGGGGTGGTGGGACAGTCTGGGACCCGTCTGGGATGGGACGTTGTGGGAAAGCCAGAAGGGCCTCAAAAGAAGTTATGGGGAGTCACTGAATGGACGCTCCTGTGTCTCTAGGGTCCACACAGCCCAGGAGAGACCCAGGGCCCCACAGAAACTCCCTGACGGTTGGATTTGCCTGGACAGGGCTACGTGAGGCCAAATGACCATAAATGCGTCTAGTCTGACTCTGTCCTCCGTGTCCTCCACCCCCTCCCCCAGTCTGGACGTCCCGCCCAGTTTGGGTGCTCGTGGGTGGAAGGATACCAGAAACGAGAGGCGCCTTCTTCCTCTTGCTGGGCGGCAGAGAATCCCAAGTCTTTGCACTGCTTCCGGCATGGAGTCTGTCATCCCACCACTCTGTGCCCCCAGACCCGGAGTTAGGAGCGAGGCGCCGGAGCCCCTGGGGCACCCTACCCTTGTAGCCTGGGCCTTTCATGCGAGCCAGGCCGTCCCTGACCCCTCCTCTGCCTCCCGCGGTGGTGGAGGGCACCCTCGCCCGGGGCTTGGAAGCTGAGCTCAGGCCCAGATGGCACAGCTGTGCAGGCCAGGGAGAGAGGTCTGTGCACTTTGGTGAGCCCGGTTTCTTCAATTGTTTAGGGGATAGTGGGACAATGACAATTCTGGCCTCTTTAGGACCCCATACGAACACAGGCGCTGTGGACGCAGAAGGGACTGTGGCTATTGTACGGGCGGGTGCGTCAGAATGACACCTCCTGTTCTGGAAAGAGAGCAGGGGCCGAGGAAGGTACGGAGACCCATACTTTGTGAGCCTCCACTCTACACCAGGCACTGGGCCGGGTCCTTTCTGTGCCTGGTTCCACTTAGTCCCCACAGTAACCCCAAGAAGCAGGTCCTCCTCCACGCCCCTCGGGCGGGCAGGGCAGCAGAGGCCCCGCCAAGGGGTGGGCACGTACAGAGCAGGGTCCAGGGCAGCCTCACCAGAGCTGATGTCCAGGCTCTGGCGGTCCTCTTCCAGCCTCTGGATCCGCTCCTGCAGCTCCCCCTGCAGGGTGTCGTAGAGCAGCAGCTTCTCACTCTGGAAGGGGTGGGGCCGCTCAGCAGGGCTGCAGGGCCCAGCCACTTCCGTTTGCCTCCCCCAGCGCCCAGCCCCATTCACCTCCAGGTGCTGCTTGGCTCCCTGCAGCTCACACTCGTACTTATTCCGGATCACGTCCAGGCAGAAGCCCTTGTAGATCCCTGCAGGGGGAGGGAGATGGGAGGCCCCGCTTGGCCAGGGACCCGTGGCTCCAAAAAGGGGAGCCAGGAGCAGGGCTGGGCAGGGATGAGAAAAGAAGGGAACCATGGGCTCTGGCAGAGGAGGAGGGAGGGGGTCCAGAGCACAGGACAGCCCGCAGACCTGCCACCTGAATGCGGATCTTGAGGCTCCGCTGCAGCCCCCCCAGAGGCTCTGTGTATTCAGGCGCTCTCTCAGCCCCCACTTCCTCCAGCCGCACCCTCAGCTGACTCAGCCGTTCCCTGAACAACCTGGGGGGTAAAAGGCAGCATGTTTGTCCGTCAAACACGAGGCCAAGCGCCTGCTCCGTGGCAGGCCCCGTGCGTGAGGCCCTCGGCCACCCCTGCCCGGCACCAGGCCCGCTGCCTCCTCACCCCGGGTTCCTGAAGACCCGGCCCTGGGCGCCCTCCACTCACTTCTCCTTTAGCTCTGAGAACTGCTTCTCCAGGTCCAGCATCTCGTTGACGCACTCGCCGCGACGCCGCTCGTAGTCCTCATCGTCCATCTCTGGGACAAGAGGCCGGTCAGGGCTGGCTGGGGAGGAGCGGGCGGGCACCGGGGTGTATGCCGTGGGGGCTCACCTGAGCTCTCCTCCTCTGACTCGGTCTGGCTGCCGCTCCGTTCCTCCTCGCTCTCTTCCTCCTCCCCATTCATCTCAGCGGCTGAATCACCCTCTGCTTCCATCTCTTCTGTGTCTTTGCCTGGAGGCTGCACGGGCATCTGGGCTCTGGGAGAAGGAGGGGAGCCATCACTTGCCACTGCCCTTAGTTCCAAGCAGGAGACTGGCCCTGCCGGGAGTCGAACCAAGCCCTGTCTGCACATCTCCCAGAAGCCTGGGAGCCGTGGAAACGCTCACATCCTTGGACGCTGTTGGCGATCCCAGTCTGCGGAATGCCGGCCAAGGGGATGGTCCAGAAGATGGGAAACACCGATGGGTTCCCCACTGCCTCTGGGACTGGGCCCAAACTTGTGACTGCACTGGTCCATTTTCCTCACCCCACTATCTAAGGGTCAGTCGTTAAGTACACCATTCCTTCCTCCTCTTCACGCCTTCCTGCTGATCCCTCTGCCTGGAGTGACCTCACTTTTCTTTTGGAGAACATTCTGCAATCCTCTTGTCCTCTCACTGTGCTCTGGGTCAAAGCCCACGTCCTTCTGCTTCCTCTGGAGCCTCATGCTAACAGCGTCCCCATCTCCACTGCTCCTGCAGCTCTCCCTCTTGATGGCTCCTTCCCAGGAAACTTCAGGCGTGATCAGTGCTACCCCCCCCCCCCCCCCCCCCCCACCATTTAGAAACAGCAGAAACACAAGACCTTGCCCCATTCCACTTAACCGCTCCCCATCTCCCACTTCACAGCTACACTCTTCAAGGCTCTGGCTGTTCCTACTCTTGAATCCCCAGGGTGTTCCATTCCATTTCTCTATGCATCGCCCTCGGCTGAGGCGAATCATGTGGCCTTAAGCGACAACCTCCTTGTGCCCAGTGCCAGTATTTTTTAGTGCTTATCTTAGTTGACTTCTCAGCAAGAATGAACACTATTAATCATTCCTTCTTTTAGATACTCATCTGGTATTTACTAAAGGTCTAATATACGCCAGGTACCGTCAGACGGTACAGCAGACGCTGTGCTCAACGAGGCAAACACACAACTTGAGATAGACCTCAAGTTTACAGGTTCCTGGGAGAGAGGCAGAGAAGTGGAAATGTACTGTGGTGTGAGAAGAGTTAAGACTGGGGAGGGGGGCATATGGCAGAGCCATCTAACTGGAACCTGGAGCTGGCTCCAACGGTGAGGGCTTACAGGGGAAGATCCTTGCTGCATCAGCAGGGAGGGCTTGCAGACAGATGAGCTGGGATGGCTGGGGAGGGAACTTTCCAAGCAGACCGAATAGCATGTACAGAGACCCCAAAACGAGAGAAAGGGCAGGGTGGGGGGCAGAGGAGTGTGAGCCTCAGAGAGAAGTCTGGGCTGCAGAGATGTGATGGTCATCAGCATATAGTGAGTTCTTCAGGCCTTGGGAGAGGGTGCGACCAGCAGGGCAGAATGTGTGGAGAAGAGGTCCATGATGGAACTCCCAGGGTCACCAGAGGGACAGATGATGAAACCCCTGCAAAGGAGAAGGAAATTAGCAAGAGGCGGAAGAGGAAAAATTCAGTCACGGGAGAAAGAATTTTAGGAGGAAAGAGCGGTAACAGTGCTGCCAAGAGGTCACCTACGAGGAAGACTAAATAGTCCTCTCAACAGATAATCTCTCTGCCTACTGGAGGCTTCTATTTGGTGATGTTCTTCCCACTTCCCCGGGCACGGCTTTGTAGTCCTTTACATGCACGTAGACACCACTCCCTCCGGGAAGCCCTATTTATTTACGTGTCCTCCCTGCCCATTTTCACGTTTGCCCAACCAGGCTGTAAGCCTCACCAGGGCAGGGATGCACATGTACCTTATTCATCCGGCATAGTACTTACTCACTTCACGGCTAGAGCATGTGCGAATACAAACTAAACAAAGCACACTCTTGGGGCGCCTGGGTGGCTCAGTCAGTTGAGCGACTGACTTCGGCTCAGGTCATGATCTGGCGGTTTGTGAGTTCAAGCCCCTCCTCCAGCTCTATGCTGAGAGCTCAGAGCCTGGAACCGGCTTCAGATTCTGTCTCCCTCTCTCTCTCTCTGCCCCTCCCCCGCTCAAGCTCGCTCGCGTTCTCTCAGAAAGAAACATAAAAAAAAAATTAAAGCACACTCTTTCAGGGCAGGCATTTATTTCTTGGTCGCCCCAGGGCCCTGTAGTGGTAGCAAACCCACCAGGTACTGTTCGCTTTCCTCGACACCAATTCCAGTTCTGTAAAACAACTGGCTCACAGGACGGTTTAGTCACATTCCTCAATGATTTCACAAATGATCTGAACCTGACCTGAAAACCCTCAGTTCTCCAAACCAGCCTCATCTTTCCCATTGTCAAGCCCCAGTTCCTGCAGTTCCCAAATTTTGCAATCCCTCTTCATTGTTAAATGTATACGTTTACTTTGTCTCCAGCGGTCTCTGATTCTAACGAGTGAGCCAATTTAATCACAACCTCCCCTCCTTACCCTGGTGCAAAAAGAGGGTAACCCTCGCCATTCTGAGTGTTGTAAAGATTGCAAGGGAAAAGGGACGGAAAGGAAACTTGTAAGGCGCTGGGCACACTCAATTTATATTTTTAGAAAGTGAGCAAGCATTTCGAGGGCAGGCCTCTACAGAAGACCGATTCTTCTCCCTCGAGGAAGCCAACCCACACCCTGCGCGGCGCGGCGCGCCAGGACCCTCCCGCCCGGTTCCATTCCCGTCTGCGCCGGCGCCGCGGGCGGGGCAATCACTGGCTCTTCGGCGGCCAGCTGCGGCCCCGCGGCGCCGCACGCGTCCGGCCGGTTAGGTCCCCGCTTCCGCCCTGACTGGGCTAGCTCCGACCCACTGGCCAGAGGGGCCGAACCAGGTGCCATGAGCAGCGTTACGCACCGCGGCGAGTGGGGCCTCCGGGTTGACGCCTGAAACTCCCTAAGAGGTGCCCGCGGCCGCCGGGCTCCCGGAAGCGTCGCGCCCTTGCCTCTTCCCCGGGAGGCGGGGCCCGCCGCACTTCCGTGTACGCGATCAGGAGGCGCCCGTCGCCGAGCTCACATTTGGGCAGCTGGGGGCGAGGCATGCTGGGATACCGCGGGGCCGGTCTCCATAGCAACCGGCCGAAATTCGCGCAGGCCTACGGCTGGTGGAGAAGGCCCTTGTGGTTTTCTTGCCCCGCTGTCCGCGCCCCTCGGTCCGCAGCGACCTCCTTCCCCGGTCCCCCCGCCCCTCGCGTGAAAGGGAAGAACCGGCGACCCCACCCCCTGCACGCCAGGTTCGGGAGAGTAACGGAGCCAGCTGTAGGTGTGAACACTCATTTATTTACATATGGTCATCGGTAGGCAAATAGCCCAGCCCAGCCTGTTCGAGGGTACAGATCTGGCACGGAACCTGCAGACTCTTCCTTTCTCCAGAGCTCCTGAAGGCGGAGGCCTGGAAGAACCAGGAGGTGTAGGCTTCTGCCCGAAAGCTAAGAAGTAAATCCAACGCCTCCATCTGATTTCTTTCCAAAAAGTTCATTCTGTTAAGTCCTCCGACTTCCCAGTTCTGCCCTGTTCATACTCTTTGCTCTCCTACTGCCCACCCACCCAAGATTGTTAATAATAATAACAACAATAATACTGTAATAATATTAATAATACTTCACATTTGTACGAAGCTTACAGAATGTTTTCACATGTAGCATCTCATCTGAGCCTCCCAACAGTTCTGTGAGGTAGGTATTTTTCACCTCCCTTTTTACAGATGGGATAACTGAGGCTCAGAGAGGAAATGGGATTTGCTCAAGGCCACACAGCTAGTTAGTGGTAAAGCTAGGACTTGATCCCAGCACCCCATATTCAAGTCCAGTGTTCCAACACCACAGCTACCACCGTAAAGTGGAGTGACATTTCTTACCCCTGTCAGGCCTGAGGGACGGCCTAAGGAGGGAAGAGGCTGAGACTTCTCGGACTAGGGGAGGGAAGGGCTCAGCAGTGACGAGGGGAGTCGGGGTACTTGGCCTTCAACTCCTGTTTGAACTGGCGGTAAAGGATCTTATTGTGCTGATTTTCGGCCTCCTTTTGGGGATGGAACTTCAAAGCTTCCTTGAAGCCCTTATGAACCAGGAAACCTTCGTTCAGCACCTCGAAATCAAATCCTGCCACGTGCAGCTCACAGGCCTGTTGGGGGAGAGACAGGTCAGCGAAGTTGGATGACATTTCTAGGGCCAAGACTGACATCCCTAAAGCCTCTCTCCAGCATCCCCACTCCTCTGGAGGCATGCTGGATCTTCCACACCATCCAGCCACCTCCTGAACTATGACTGTCCTTCCTCATTGGCTCTTTTCCATCCAGGACTACTCCTAGCTCCCAGAGCCCGCCATTCCTCCTACCCCCTTTCCCCTGCCCTCTCCCTTTTGGGCACCTGGCTGATGCGATTGAAGCCGTACTGCCGAAAGCGCTCGTCGAAAGTGGGCACCTTGCCTCCGGCCACGTAGAATGGTTCCCAGGGGTCCTGCCAGGGAACCACATAGGCAGGCCTCAGCAAGGTCTCTTCCGGCAGGTTGACCCAGCGGGAGTAGTTGGTGGGCGCCTGGCAGGGCGTGCACAGCCCATAATAGAAGGGCCGCACCTCGCCTACTTGATAGAGCTGCAACAGCTCGTTCTTGTTCGTGGGCATGCGGCGTGCTCGGCGGATCTCAAAGGCAGGCACCACCAGCGCTGTGCCCGCCCACTGCTTGCTCTGATCCAACATTTCCCTCAGGCCTCTCCATAGCCCCTCGCTGGGCACCATGTCCACGTCGATTACCAGGGCATAGTTGGCCCCCTCACGGGCCAGATTCCTCAGCAGATTATTGGGGTAGGAGACATTGGTGCCCAGCGCATAATTGATCCCGGGCTGGGCCACCCTGGCTAGCTTGTCAAAGACCTCCTGGCAGGACCGCAGCAGGGCAAACTCCCCCGGTTCCCGGGGATCGGGCACAGCGGCCTCATAGCGCGAGGGGCACACAAGGTGCATGGCCACCCTGGCGCGCATATCAGGGCAGTGGCTGCTCAGCGCGTAGGTCAGCACCGTGGCTAGTTGCGCCTCCTCCTTGGTGGCCGCGAACACCGACACGGATAGCGGGCCCTCCCAGCGCTCCAACAGGCCCGACAGGTGCAGCAGGTTGTCTACGCTGGCATGCGTGGCCAGGATCACATCATTGGGGTCCATGGTGGTCTTCAGGAGGCCCCTGTAGACTCGGTAGTCGCCACTGGCGTCCAGGACGCCTCCAGAGGCCAGAGCGGTACGGAGCTGCGCCTTGACCTGGTCCACGGACCGCGGGGACGGGGGAAAGAACTCGAAATACTGGTCTTGCTCCTCCTGCCCGTGCAGCCCGGACAGCAGCGACAGGTAGAGCAGCTGCAGCATCGCCACCAGCATTAGCGCGGCCAGAAGCAGCTGGTAGAAGGCGCACCGGATGGCGTAGGACATCTGCATGGCTCTCGGGGCTCCGAGCGCGCAGCAGGGACCACCGGGCCGCAGCCTTTGCCAGCCGCCGCAAGCCCGGATTTACCGCAGCCTGCCGAGCACAGCCGAAGCGAGCCGAGGCGAGCCGAGCCCGGCGTACCATCCCCTCCCGAGAGGGGCTCGGGGTGCGCCAGCTCGCCCCCTGCGCGCGAGGAGGAGCTACTGCATCCGCCGCCGCGCCGCGCTTTGCAAACCCTGAAAGTGCCCGCGGCCGCGCCTGCCGGGTTCCCAGGGGTATGCACCCCTCCCTCCGGGTCAGTGCGCGACCCCCTGGACCAGGCGCGTCCTGAAACCCCGGCGCGCTCGCTCCCGCCTTAGGGAGGGAAACCGTGGCAGAGCTCGGTTGCAGCTTGGTGAAGGATGGCGCGGGTTCGCGGCTGCGGCGGGCGGGAAGGAACACAAAAAGCCCCTTGCTTTCCGCCTTCTCTCCGTCCACCAGCTCCTGTGAAATCCACACTGAAGAATGGATGCTGGGGGCTCGGAAGGTGCGGAAGAGATGAGAGATAAGGGTGTGTGGAGCAAGGCGCCCTACGTGGGACGAGGTGGCCGAGTGGTTAAGGCGATGGACTGCTAATCCATTGTGCTTTGCACGCGTGGGTTCGAATCCCATCCTCGTCGGTCGCGTTTTACACGGCGTGAGGGGTGTACTTTTCTGCTTTCCTATAGGAAAGGGGCCAGAGGTTCAGTGGCACCCAGAAGACCCGAATTGGAGTTCTGGCTGATGCCAGACTTGTGACCACTGTGTCATCTGCAGTAATTAGAGAGGCCCCTCGGGAGGTGCCACCCTAGTGTCCAAAGTAGTGGAATTTGGAAGTGGTGAGTTTGATCACTTAAATTATTACTCTTTTCGGCCCACTGATTCCCCTCCCGCTAGCAATTCTCCCAGAGCGGACGCCATGTGTCCACACACCTCTCCCCTCCTCCCCAACACAGTTTAAGCAGGAGACCTACAATATTCTAACCGTAGCTAACGTATACAGAAGGCGCTTAATACGTGTTTGTGAAATAATTGATCCATGGACTGTTCAGAAGAGGAAAGGCTGTGGGGAAGGGCAGGTACTTCGACTGCTAAATCAATGATATGTAATAACTGTTCGTGCTTTGTGAATCTTGGGGAAGCAGCTTTGGGGCAGACTAAGGAGGGCCTCCAATTGCCAGGACAAGGTTTGCCCTCCTCTCTACAGGCAGTAGGAAGCCAAGGCTGTTGAATTGAAGAGGACCAGGGGACCTATATTCTGCAACCCCAGCAGTAACACCTGCTGAGCACCTGCTCCACACCAGGGGCTGTGTTAGGTACCCCTGATAGGGCCTTGCAGGACGCTCGACAGGTACTATCTTTGAAGGTTTTCACTGGTGACCTGTACTGGGAGAGAGGAGATATGAATGTGCAGATCCTTTTAGCACAAGCCTTGCAAACCGAAGGCTCAGACGTCAGATTTGGTGCTGTTAGGGTCTTTTTTGACCTGCTCGGTGTTGAAAACAACCGTTTGAATCACGTTAGTTGTTAACCTTGGTGAATCAGAAGATTTCACGGAAAATCCCCACCGCCAACTTCTGTTTTAAATTCCAAAAGATCCGGCAATTCCAGGCCTGCATTTCCACAGGGTGACAATCAACCAGAAGGTAAGAGTAGCTCACCTTTTGCAAATAGTTTTCTCTTTGCTAGAGGCTCAACCCTGCCCCTTCACTACTCACCCTGGCCCTTTGAGCATTTGACTTTCATCTGCAGCGCTCACATCATACCACCTCCACTGAAGATCTGCCCAGGCATCTGCTCCCAGTACCTTCCACCTCCCCCGCGCTACAGTGCTAGCCACATAGCAGGCAGCAATCTGTGTTTGTTGAATGAGTGAATAGGAAGCTTCTGAAGTGTCCCCAGTGGCCTTGGCATAAGGGGAGACTGAAAAGTAGCGACTGGGCCTCACTGAGGCGTCAAGATCAAGGAAAACCACACAGAAAACCCAGAGGAAGGCCTACAGACTGCTCTTGTGGGCGAAAGGCCTGGCTGGGGAGACACGCTGTCTGTGATGGAGCAGAGCATGAGAGAGTCAAAGACCAGAGTTGAAAACCATTAATAAGGGGTCTGCTTTCCACGTACCTTACTCTCTGCGTCTCTTCCCTCTGGCCATTCCTGATTTATATATCCCTTTGTAATAAACCTGTAAACCAGCGAGTGATCTATTTCTCCGACGGCTGTGATTTGCTCTAGCAAATTAATCAGATCCACTGAAGGGGCTGCTGGAACCTCTGATTGACAGCCAGTTGGTCAGGAGCACGGGTGACAACCCGGACTTCCAACTGGCATCTGAAGGGCGGGCGGTCTGGTGGGGCTGAGCCAGTCGGCTGTGGGATCTGATGCTGTTTCCAGGTAGACGGTGTCAGAATTGAGTTGCATTGTAGGACACTCAGCTGGTGTCAGAGAATTGCTTGGTGTGGGGGGAAAACCCACACATCAGAATTGGTGTCAGAATCGTATGTATAGAAATACAACTGAATTTTGTGTGTTCCTCTTGAATCTTCTAATTTTGCTGAATTATTTTTTTAATGTTGATTTTTGAAAGAGAGAGAGAGAGAGAGCACAAGCAGGGGAGGGGCAGAGAGAGAGGGAGACACAGAATCTGAAGCAGACTCCAGGCTCTGAGCTGTCAGCACGGCTGAGCCACCCAGACGCCCCTAAATTTATTCATTAGCTGTAAGTGTGTGTGTGTGTGTGTGTTGCGTGTATATTTTTCAGAATTTTTTTTTCTGTATATGTGTGTGTTATATCATCTGTGAATATGTATAGTTTTGCTTCTTCCTTTCTAATTTGGATGCGTTTTATTTCTCTTTCTTGCCAAATTGCCGGAGTTAGAGCTTCCAGTGCAACATTGAAAAGATGAAATGATAAAAGCGGGCTTTTCCCTGATTTTTGGGAGAGGCTTTCAGTCTTTAAACATTGAATATGACACGAGGTGTGGATTTTTCATAAATTTTCTTCATCAGGTTTAGGAAGTTCCCATCTATTCCTTGTTTGTTGAGTGCTTTTATCTTGAAAGGGTGTGGGGTTTTGTCACGTGTTTTTTTCTGTATCAGTTGAGATGATCTTGTGTTTTTCCCCCTTCCCTCTATTAACGTGGTGTATTACATTAAGTGGTCTTTTTATGTCGAACCACCTTGCATTCTGGAGGGGATCATGCTGGGTCATGGTATATAATCCCGTTGATGAGCTACGGGTGCTGTTTGCTAGCATTTTGTTGAGATTTTTACATCTATATTCATAATGGATATTGGTTATTAAGTTTTCTTATGATGTCTTTATCTGGCTTTGGCATCAGGGTGGTACTGGTCTCATAGAATGAATGAGTTAAGAAGTGTTTCTCCGCTCTTGTATTTTTTGGAAGGGTTTGAGAGGATTGGTGTTTGTCCATTCTTTAAATGATTGGTAGAATTAGCCTGTGAAGTCATCCGGTCCTGGAATTTTCTTTGTTGGTACATTTCTGATTACTGATTCAATCTTGTTACTTGTTATAATTATGTTCAGACTTGCTATTTCTTCTTTAATTGGTTTTGGTAATTTGTGTGTTTCTAGAATTCGTTAATTTCATCTAGGTTTCTTGTTTGTTGGTGTACAACACAGTATTCTCTTAAAATCCTTTTTATTTCTGGACAATCAATAGTAATGGACCCACTTTCCTTTCTGATTTCAACAGTTTGAAGGTCCACTTTCTCTTTTTCTTGGTAGTCTAGTCAAAACTTTGTCAATTTTGTTGATTGTTTCAAAGAACCAACTTTGTTTCATTGATTTCCTCTTTTGTTTTTCTGCCCTCCACCCTAATTATTTATCATCTCCTTCTTTCTGTTAGCTCTGGGCTTAATTTGCTCTTCTTTTTCTAGTTCATTGAGGTGTAAAGTTAGGTCAGTGATTTGAGACCTTTCTTTTTTTTTCAGGACCCGGATATCAAGAACCTCACACTCCACCCACTGAGCTGGTCAGACACCCCCTTCTTCCATTTTAATGTAGGCATTTACAGGTATAGATTTCCTCTCAGCATTGCTCCGGCCGCATCCCATAAATTTCAGTGTGTTGTGTTTTCATTTTCTTTTGTTTCGAAGCATTTTCTAGTTGGTCTTTTGATTTGTCCCTTCTTCCTTCCTTTCCTTTCCTTTCCTTTCCTTTCCTTTCCTTTCCTTTCCTTTCCTTTCCTTTCCTTTGATGGGGGATTTTCAAGGTAGTTCTTTTATTTTTTACAGCAAAGCAATTGCAAGCTAATCGTAGAACATAGTATACATTGTATAGATTCTTTTTTTCCCCCAAAGTATTGCAGTATAGTTGACATACAATGTAATGTTAGTTCCAGGCATACAACCTAGTGATTCTACAGTTCCACATCGTCCTCAGTGCTCACCACATCCCACCTGTCACCACACAATGTTATAACAACATTACTGACTGTATTCCCTATGTGCTACTTTTCATCTCTGTGACTTCTTTGTTTTATAACTGGAAGTTTGTACCTGTTCATACCCTTTGCCTGTTCCACCCGTCCTCCCAGCCCCTTCTCCTCTGGCACCCCAACAGTTTGTTTTCTGTATTTATGGGTCTGTTTCTGCTTTTTGTTTGTTTTGTTTTTCAGATTCCACATGAGTGGGTGAAATCATATGGTATTTGTTTTTCTCTGTCAGACTTACTTCACTTAGTATAATGCCTTCTAGGTCCTTCAATTGTAAATGGCAAGATCTTATTCTTTTTTATGGCTGAGTAATATTCCACTGTGTGTGTATGTGTCTCACATCTTTTTTTTTTTTTTTCCATTTTTAAAAATGTTTATTTTTGAGAGAGACAGAGCACAAGTGAGGGGAGGGGCAGAGAGAGAGGGAGACACAGAATCGGAAGCAGGCTTCAGGCTCCTCACTGTCAGCACAGAGCCCGACTCAGGGATTGAACTCATGAGCCATGAGATCACGACCTGAGCCGAAGTTGGACGCTTAACCGACTGAGCCACCCAGGCGCCCCTCACATCTGTTTTATCCATTCATCCGTCGATGGATACTTGGGCTGTTTCCATATCTTTTGACTTCTTTTTTAACCCAGTAGTTCAGAGTCTGTTGTGTAATTTGCACACATTTGTGAAGTGTCTACTTTTTGTTTATTGATTTCTAGTTTCATTCCATTGTGATTGGAAATGATACTTTGCAGGATTTCCATCTTTTAAAATTTATTGCAGTTTTGTTTGGTGACCTAATTTATGATCTATCCTGGGAGAAGGAGGTCCATTCTGGTGTTTGTAGGTGAGTGTTCTGTGTGTGTCGGTTTGGCCTCACTAGTTTGCGGTGTGCTCAGGTCCTGTGTCGATCTTCTGTCTGGTTGTTCTGTGCTTCATTGAAAGTGGGGCACTGACATCTCCAACTATTCTTGTAGAAGTGCGTATTTCTCCTTCAAATTTGTCCATTTTTGCTTCATATTCCTTTAGGATTTTGTTGTTAGGTGTGTATGTTTATAATTATTATACCTTCTTGATGGAGTTACCCTTTTATGAATATGTAACATTTTCCTTTGTGTCTTAAATAATTCTTGATGTAAAGTCTACTTTGTCTGATATTAGTATATTCACCCTTGCTGCCTTTTGATTACTATTTGCATGGAATAACTTTCCCCATTCTTTCATTTTCAGCCTATTTGTATTTTTTGCTCTAAAGTGAGTTTCTGGTAGACAGCATAGACAGCATATGGTTAAATCGTTTTTTAATGTTTATTTTTGAGAGCGGGAGGGGGGGGAGTGGGAGGGGCTGAGAGAGAGACACACAGAATCCGAATCAGGCTCCAGGCCCTGAGCTGTCAGCACAGAGCCTGATGCGGGGCTTGAACTCAGGAACCACAAGATCATGACCTGAGCTGAAGTCGGACGCTTAGCTGACTGAGCTACCCAGGCGCCCCTGGTTAAATCATTTTTAATCCATCTAACAGC